AAAAATAAGGGTTAAGAGTCCTTAACCATCCAAATAGATAAATTTGTTCAAAGCGCTAACAAATTCTTACAAGGGTTAAATTTAATTAATCTCTCATCTAAAGTGGATAACAAATCCATATGATTAAAAAGTACACTCACCCTCTGAAAATAAGAAACGAAACTTCAAATAAGAATATATTTTAGGATATATATTTATGACAACTAACATTCTCAATCCTACTTTATTATTTAAAATAAAAAAAATCAACTATTCATTTTGACTATCAATAGAGTTAAATTGGGAAAAATGTGTCCAGGCCTCAAAAGTAGAAACTTTATGTGACAAGGCTCCTCATAGTTTTTTCCATGTGGATCAGCCCCTTGAAGTGTGACACTTTGTACTGCAGCCACGTTTTATTAATTATCACATGCCAGCTAAGCTAAAATTTCCAAACTATCATTATCCTCTCTCCTCAATCTCTCTGACCCAACACTCATATCATCTCTCTCTCTCTCCTCTCCTCTCTCTCTCTCTCTCTCTCTCATCTCCTCTCTCTCTCTCACCTCTCTCTAAAACTAAGAGCTTTCTCAAGCTCGTCGTCCTGACCGAGACGCACAGAACATTAATCTATTAGCTAGAAGAAAAAAAGAAAAAAAGAAAAAAGAAAGGTAAGGAGAAGTAGAGTAGAAGGGGAATGAAGAGAAATGCCGTAATTAAGAAAGAACGAAAATTTGTATTAATGTATCTCTATGAATGAAATTGCCACGGTGCCGCCGAGCGATATTCGAAGCAATATAACGAGAGGTAGAAAATGAGCCCAAATGAAAGGAAGATACCGTGTGATAGACAATATAAAGGGCTACACACCGGCGCAGACGGTAGTGAAAACGGAGACCGGAGGTGGCCGTAAAACACGCGCGAAGTCGGCACGGCGCTGCTGTTTTTTGCTCGCTGCTGCCGTCGAGCGATGTTTCGGATGTTACCGAGAGAGATAGAGAATGAGTTAGAGCGTGATACAAATTGGAGGTGATAGACAACATGTAGGGCTACTCACCAAAGAAGAAATCGACGGAAACGGAGATTGGAGTCGATCAGAAAGTGCGTGCAAAGTCGGCACAAAACTATAGTTTTCTGCAGTACAATTTCTCGCCGTTCGGGTTTGTTCTTCGCTGTTCGGAGATTTTTGCCGCTGTCCGGGCTTACCGGAGGTGGGAGGAGGTTGTCGGGGTCGTCGGGGTGTCTCGGTGGGCTCCCTCAGAGGTAGGAGGAGCTTTTCTCCGTTCCCAAGAGCCTAGAACTAAGATGAATTAGAGCTAGAACTGGCTAGAACTAGCAAGATAGAAGCTAGAACTGGCTGTATACAACCTAGAACTAGGGGAATAGAAGATAGAACTAACGTAGAAGAAAGAACTAGCAAGTGTGCATGTAAAAAAACCTTTTTGGGTTTAGAACTAGCAAGATAGAAGCTAGAATTGGGGGTATACAAGCTAGAACTAGGGGAATAGAAGCTAGAACTAACGTAGAAGAAAGAACTAGCAAATGTGCATGTAAAAAATCATTGATGGGTTTAGAACTAGAAAGATAGAAGCTAGAACTAGGGGTATACAAGCTAGAACTAGGGGAATAGAAGCTAGAACTAACAAGTGTCCTATCAAGGGTTTTTTACATGCACACTTGCTAGTTCTTTTTTCTACGTTAGTTCTAGCTTCTATTCCCCTAGTTCTAGCTTGTATACCCCCAGTTCTAGCTTCTATCTTGCTAGTTCTAAACCCATCAAGGGTTTTTTACATGCACACTTGCTAGTTCTTTTTTCTACGTTAGTTCTAGCTTCCATTCCCCTAGTTCTAGCTTGTATACCCCCCAGTTCTAGCTACTATCTTGCTAGTTCTAAACCCAACAAGGGGTTTTTACATGCACACTTACTAGTTCTTTCTTCTACGTTAGTTCTAGCTTCTATTTCCCTAGTTCTAGCTTGTATACCCCAAGTTCTAGCTTCTATCTTGCTAGTTCTAAACCCAGCAAGGAATTTTTACATGCACACTTGCTAGTTCTTTCTTCTACGTTAGTTCTAGCTTCTATTCCCCTAGTTCTAGCTTGTATACCCCCAGTTCTAGCTACTATCTTGCTAGTTCTAAACCCAACAAGGGTTTTTTACATGCACACTTGCTAGTTCTTTCTTCTATATTAGTTCTACCTTCTATTCCCCTAGTTCTAGCTTGTATACCCTCAGTTCTAGCTTCTATCTTGCTAGTTCTAAACCCATCAAGGGTTTTTTACATGCACACTTGTTAGTTCTTTCTTCTACGTTAGTTCTAGCTTCTATTCCCCTAGTTCTAGCTTGTATACCCCCAGTTCTAGCTTCTATCTTGCTAGTTCTAAACCCAGTAAGGGTTTTTTACATGCACACTTGTTAGTTCTTTCTTCTACGTTAGTTCTAGCTTTTATTCCCCTAGTTCTAGCTTCTATACCCCAAGTTCTAGCTTCTATCTTGCTAGTTCTAAACCCAGCAAGGGTTTTTTACATGCACATTTGCTAGTTCTTTTTTCTACGTTAGTTCTAGCTTCCATTCCCCTAGTTCTAGCTTGTATACCCCCAGTTCTAGCTACTATCTTGCTAGTTCTAAACCCAACAAGGGGTTTTTACATGCACACTTACTAGTTCTTTCTTCTACGTTAGTTCTAGCTTCTATTCCCCTAGTTCTAGCTTGTATACCCTAAGTTCTAGCTTCTATCTTGCTAGTTCTAAACCCAGCAATGGTTTTTTACATGCACACTTGCTAGTTCTTTCTTCTACGTTAGTTCTAGCTTCTATTCCCCTAGTTCTAGCTTGTATACCACCAGTTCTAGCTACTATCTTGCTAGTTCTAAACCCAACAATGGTTTTTTACATACACACTTGTTAATTCTTACTTCTACGTTAGTTCTAGCTTCTATTACCCTAGTTCTAGTTTGTATACATCCGGTTCTAGCTTCTATCTTGCTAGTTCTAAACCCATCAAGGGTTTTTTACATGCACACTTGTTAGTTCTTTCTTCTACGTTAGTTCTAGCTTCTATTCCCCTAGTTCTACCTTGTATACCCCCAGTTCTAGCTTCTATCTTGCTAGTTCTAAACCCAGTAAGGGTTTTTTACATGTACACTTGTTAGTTCTTTCTTCTACGTTAGTTCTGGCTTCTATTCCTCTAGTTCTAGCTTGTATACACACAGTTCTAGCTTCTATCTTGCTAGTTCTAAACCCAACAAGAGTTTTTTACATGCACACTTGCTAGTTCTTTTTTCTCCGTTAGTTCTAGCTTCTATTCCCCTAGTTCTAGCTTGTATACCTCCAGTTCTAGCTTCTATCTTGCTAGTTCTAAACCCAACAATGGTTTTTTACATGCACACTTGTTAGTTCTTTCTTCTACGTTAGTTCTAGCTTCTATTCTCCTAGTTCTAGCTTGTATACCCCCAGTTCTAGGTTCTATCTTGCTAGTTCTAACTAGTTCTAGCTCTAATTCATCTTAGTTCTAGGCTCTTGGAAACGGAGAAAAGCTCCTCCTACATCCGAGGGAGCCGACCGAGACACCCCGACGACCTCGACAACCTCCTCCCACCTCCGGTATGCCCGGACAGCGGCGAAAATCTCCGAACAGCGAAGAACAAACCCGAACGACGAGAAATTGCACTGCAGAAAACTATAGTTTTGTGCCTACTTTGCACGCACTTTCTGTTCGACTCCAATCTCCGTTTCCGTCGATTTCTTCTTTGGTGAGTAGCCCTACATGTTGCCTATCACCTCCAATTTGTATCACGCTCTAACTCATTCTCTATATCTCTCGGTAACATCCGAAACATCGCTCGACGGCAGCAGCGAGCAAAAAACAGCAGCGCCGTGCCGACTTCACGTGTGTTTTACAGCCACCTCCGGTCTCCATTTTCACTACCGTCTGCGCCGGTGTGTAGCCCTTTATATTGTCTATCACGCGATATCTTTCTTTCATTTGGGCTCATTTTCTACCTCTCGGTATATTGCTTCGAATATCGCTTGGCGGCACCGTGGCAATTTCATTCATAGAGATACATTAATACACATTTTCGTTCTTTCTTAATTACGGCATTTCTCTTCATTCCCCTTCTACTCTACTTCTCCTTACCTTTCTTTTTTCTTTTTTTTTCTTTTTTTTCTTTTTTTCTTCTAGCTAATAGATTAATGATCTGTGCGTCTCGGCCAGGACGACGAGCTTGAGAAAGCTCTTAGTTTTAGAGAGAGATGAGAGAGAGAGAGGAGATGAGAGAGAGAGAGAGAGAGAGAGAGAGAGAGAGAGAGAGAAGATGAGAGAGAGATGATATGAGTGCTGAGTCAGAGAGATTGAGGAGAGATGATAATGATAGTTTGGGAATTTTAGCTTAGCTGGCATGTGATAATTGATAAAAATGGGGCTATAGTACAAAGTGTCACACTTCAAGAGACTGATCCACATGTGGAAAACTATGAGGGGCCTTGTCACATGAAGTTTCTGCTTTTGGGGCCTGGACACATTTTTCTCTAAATTATTTTCAAACTCTCTTAAAAAATTAACTAAATTAATATCTTTTCTCTGAACCTTTATCAAACGGCCACTCAGGATATAATAAAAAATTGGAAAGGGTACCATAGGGAAGTTTAGTGCTTGCAAATTTTCCGCATTGACCGCCGACTTTAGAACTTAGAAGCAGACATGTCAAAAATTGAAACAAAGCAAGCATACGGCGGAAAAAAAGAGTGAGCAGATATTTTCTACTACCGACTTGCGAGTCAAACAGCAACAACACCAACATAATAGTAACAGCTTGATTTACCCTCCCTTAAAAAAATAAATAAATAAATAAAACAACAGATTTTACCTGTCATGAATAATTAAATTGAATAAATATGGAACAACAATTGATACGGCGGTGATTGATCTCTTAAGCTCACCTGATGCGTGCTTTAACTGGTAACTTCACCCTTTTCTCATCATTGGCTTTTTTTTAGAAAAGCAATAATAAGTACAAGAGCAATTTATAGTTGTAGTTGTAGTTGCTCCATTAATTACAAGAAAAAGATTTATAGTTGTAGTTGCTCCATTAAAATCAGATTCAAACCGCTTCTCTCTCTCTCATCGGCCTGCAGCTTTGGAGTTTGGCGTCGGACAACATTCTCTTCTCCTTTATCGAGGTACTCTCTCCCCCCCTTTCTCCTCTCTTTTACTTCTCGACTGCAATGGTGTACTTTAGAGCGGGTTTCAGGAGATTTTCTCTGCGGTTTCTCAGTCAAAGGCTGGATTTTTTAGGGTGTAATTTCTTGAGTCGCTTCCATTTCACAGTTAAAGATTTGATCTTTTTTCAGGCGTTTTTATTTACTCGCTCAATTGGTGTCGTGCTGAGTTTTACTTCAGTGTAATCTTGTTTTGAGAGCACTGGATTTCGTTTGCTTAATTTTGACCGACTCTAACGCCAGCATTGTTTTCAATTTTAATCCTTCAAGATTTAACAAAAGCCTACAAAGAAAGCGAGTGGTTTTAGGAGTTTAGAAACATTTAGGCTTTCAGCATTGTACAAATTGGCTTTCCCCCCCTCTCAACCTTTGGTGCTAGAATTTAGGGCTTTTACTCAGCGATAAGTGGAGCGCATGGATGAGGTTTAAAGATTGTAGGTTAAATTTGCACCTGCTTGATTTGATACATCTTGTTAATATTGCACAAGAAATTAGTAATTGGGGTTGGAACTATCCCCCCCTGCCCCCACCAATCAAGCTATTAATTTGTTGTTCGTTCACATTTTTTTTGGCTATATATGTTGGAAATTGTGGTTAAATCTGTAATTAAACTGAGAAAACAGACGTGCTATAATTTTAAATTTTTTCAGTTCACTGTTGTGCGTTTGTGTAACACTGTACTTAAAGCAATATTTGGCCTACTCCGATGCAAGGATCCCAAGGTCAAACTGCTTCTAGAAACAGCAGTACAGTACTCTGGTGTGCACCAACCCAGTACTGTCAAGATCTCCTCGATCTATAAGACCTTTCGGTTAAGGCAAAGATCTCCTCGATCTTAAAACCTTTCAGTTTTAGGGCAAGTTCCCGCGGGCACAGTTTCTACAGCAGCAACATAACAACAGCAACAACGTCAAGATCTCCTTGATCTGACGTTTGTTTTCTAAGCTCGCGTGTATGTTTCAAGAGCTGCCCAATGGCGCTATTTATAGGCCTCTAAGGCCAGCTCAAGAGTCAATCACAATTAATGTGACTATTACAATTCTTAATGGCAATTAAGATTGTAACATCAATGCATTAAATTTCTCTAAATGCTGTTGTAACTGATGCATGCAGTAACTCCTGAATACGAGGCAACCAATGGACGCTTTGCTATGAAACGTGAGGGTCACGTCTCAGCAAATCAGACGAACCTCGTCAAACAGGCGAACCTCGTTTGACAGACGAACCTCGTCAAATGGGCGAACCTCGTTTGACATGCGATCCTCGTCAAACGGGCGAAGCTCGTTTGACATGCGAACCTCGTCAAACGGGCGAAACTCGTCAAACAGGCGAACCTCGTTAAACAGATGATTCTCATTTGACGAGCGAACCTCGTCAAACAGACGAGCCTCGTCTGATCTTGTGAATCAGACGAACCTCGTCGAACAAGTGGAACCTCGTCAACCAATTGACGAACCTCGTCTGATTTCGAGAACGTCAGAGTCACACCCTCGTGCGAATGCGTAGCTCGTCCGCGTGCTGCGAAGCAGCCTGCGAGACAACCTTCATGGCAGCCAACGTGACGCCAAACAGCACCACCTTTCCCCGATGCCTCCGTGTAAAGTGCGCCTAACAAAGCGCCACTTAAAGCCTTAGCCCGATTAGCCCTGACCTCGGCCCATGGCCCACGACCCACTAGAACTTATGAGGGATTAATTAAAATAAAATACTTCTCGGACAAGGGGCATTTTGAAACACCAAAACATTAACTTTCCACTAGGCTACTAAACATTTATGAAAACATTGAAAAGTACTTGTAGTTAATATATATATATATATAGTTTGAAAACTCATTTTGAAAAATGGTTTTGACCAAAAAATCCAACAATATATAACTTTCATAGAAAGCACAACTTGTCTGCCGATACTATGTTTAAAAGCAAGATTATACTTTCAAACTCCCCGCTTATACTTGACCTATAGACACGAGTTGCTTGGGTCATTATCCTTTCTGAATATGTGCTATTAGTTCTAAATTGAACCATTTGTTCAATTTATTTCTCAACTACTTCTGCATGAGATTGTGTAAACTTTTAACGCCTTCTTTTTTTAAGGGAAAACTTCTTGGATGAAATTCCTGGGAAACAGCTCAAACAATTGACTTAGTTAGGAAGCAGTAATTAGTTGATCTGAGGCTCAATGTTGTTCTGAGGGAAGCATCTCAATCGTAATTCAAAAGAGCAGACTAAGAAAATTAATACTTTAACTAGTAGCAAGAACCCATGTTCTATTTAGTTGCAATTTGATGTCTTAAGATGCACAACTACTTCTCCCAGTCAAAAATTAAAAATCAAGTTCCCAAGCACTACAAATTGCAAGTTGAAGTCTAAAAATGTTCAAAGTTGAAGAAGAAAGTCAACTAGTGAGCGCTTGGCACAAGTTTCACGGTGCAACTTTGATTTTAACTATACAAAATTGAACTTGGTCTAGGTGTTTGGTAGTAGTGTGGAGAAGGATGAAATCCTCAGGTGTTAGAGTCAGAAATGCTTATCCGCCGTTGGCTCTCAATTGGGTGCTTGTCAATTGTATGCACATTTGATATAACGAGGTTTGGGGATGTGCATTTGAACACTGATTTATTAGTGCAATGTAGTCGTTTGTTGATGATATATTTGGTTTGCTGTCATATTCTGTCATTAGTGTTGTTCAGTCTCATTAATTTAAGGTCCAAGGTGTCTATCGCAGTTCAGTGTAAGAGTGTCCAGTATCTCATTAGAAAATGTGGTGATCCTTGTTAGTCGCGATAAATAGTAAGGTATGATAAACATGTGCAAAGTAGAAAAATGCTTCAGCCAATTATTGTTGTTTTCTTTAAGAAAAGAAACAATGGACATGGAAATCATATGTTTACAAATTTTCTGCTTTTTTGACATACAGGCTTGCACCCTTGGCCATATCACAAAGTAAGCAAAATTAAGAAGACATGGCCTGCTTTACTGTGTTAAAATTCTCATAGTCAAGGTTGTTTTGTTTTAGGAGTTATTCTATAGTGATGTCAATTTTAGGCCAAGCTGATACATTATCTATGATAATATCTTTCTATTGCAACTGGCAAGCTTATTCCTTTTGTGCTTTTTCCTGATATATGAGATCCACTTGGTTATTCTTCAGTAGTCTTCTCTTCATTCTTTTAAAAATAATAACTAAGTACACAGTTTGTTTTTGTTTCACTTCCTAACTCTTACAACTCTATTTTTTTAGGGAAATGCTACCACCTTTAGCTTAATAACTGGCATGTCCTTTCTAGGTGGCAGACTTCAGAAGCACCAGCACAGACTACTCCGCTTAGATCCAATATTCTAACGATTCTTTGGATATCTGTTGAAGAGTCTGGCTTAGACAAGCTGGTCGAGTTAGTACTGGGCTAACGATTCATGCTTTGTATTATGGGAACAAAAGACATAAACAGCTGGTTTAATCTTGCAGTTTGTGATATCCTTCTTGATGACGTTGCTGCAAGGCAGCCTTCTCACTGATGTCCTAGCTCAGAAATATTGATCTGAAGTGTTCTGTGAAAGATGAAGACGTGGCCTGGAGGTCTTGTTCTAGTGTTCCTATTCACATTGCTGCTCTTTAGATATGTGATAATAGAGAGTCCCTTAGCGGAAAGGGCTTTTCAAAATCCTTTTTCTCATAATGCTTCTATTCCTCTTCAGTTGGTGAATGTTGGAGATCCACCAGTTCAAGCACCAAAGAATGAGTCTTTTGTAGTCTCATCTGATTCCTTGGTCTCCAGTCTTCTTACCTATAAAAATCTATCTGATAGAGAACTACAATCTATGCAGACATGGAATCATTTAGCCCAGTTAATCGGTCATGCTCAAGGTTTACCTCATGCACTTGAGGCTATCAAGGAAGCCGCAGCTCTATGGCAAAAACTTATGGTATCAGTGGAAGATGAGAAACATATTTCTGCTGGAAATGGAAGTGCAAGACAAAAAGCAAAAGAGAAACAGTGCCCATATTCGATTAGAAGAATGAATGCTTCAGAATTTAGTGATAGTGGCTTCAGGCTTAAACTTCCTTGTGGATTGGTCCAGGGTTCTTCAATCACTTTTATTGGAACTCCCGGAGGAATCATGGGTAATTTTCGGATTGATTTAGCAGGAACAACTGTTCCGGGGGAGCCTGATCCTCCTATCATCTTGCACTACAATGTGCGACTTCATGGTGATAAGCTTACTGATGATCCAGTGATTGTCCAAAATACATGGACTATAGCTAGCGATTGGGGATCTGAGGAACGGTGTCCTGCTCCAGATCCCGATCATAGTAAACAAGGTGATATTTCTTAAAATTTTTGGGGAAAAAGTACAGGTTGATCATTTATATTGAGAATATAGGCTTCCTAGCGAATTTCATTAGGGCTTTTCTTTCCTTATCTATAGAGGTCAACTTATTCCGAAAATATTTTCTACTGGAACCGATAACGCATTCCAAAAATTTTTGCATGTTGCATCTAGCTTAGGCCTGTTTGTTTGAGTGCAAAACTGAAATCAAAATTTTTTGCATGCACTTCCATAGCAGCACCCAGATATTGTTATCGCTGGCATTTTCACTTGGTTTACTGTTGTAGCATTTGAGCTACCAGATTTAATGAAGGTATCTGCATGCGGTTGGTATACAGCAGAGGCAAGGGTCAGTATTATTATTATTATTATTTTGGGTATTTATGAAGTATTGACTAAGAAATAAGGAAAAGCTAAGCTAGAGCATGAAGATTTAAAAATTTTAATGTCACAGTTAAGTGAACAGTTGAATGTGGATGGACTGACATGGGCAACAAACATTAACTGGGGAGCTAGCCAACTACAAATAACAGCATCAATCAAAATATAATTTGGGGTAGGTACCGTACAGCCTACATGTTAAAGGTTTTTTGAATTTAGCAATTACTAAATATGTTGAGACCTGTTGATTTTCCTGATGATGATCTGAAGAGTTATATGGCTGTAAAGACTTTGCGACTACATTGAGAATCCATTGATTTGGGATGCGTGACTATGATCTGAGATGGTCAAAGAAATTCCCATTAATGTTGGATTTAAAGCACAATGATTAATAAACCTTAAACATATAGCACAATGCTTAATAAACCTTAAACATATTCCATTTGGTACTTCATCTGCATCACACTGCTGACCGTATGCAAGTTTGCTCCATAAAGGAATCACTTTGGCATGCCTTTTAATGTCTTCCAATTCACATATATCTACCAGGTGTGAATTTCCTATATTTTGTTTTATCGAATCTTCATGAATCTAATGTAAGATGCTTAGTTTACTATGATAGGACTAGTCATCTTCTAATCATTGACAGTTTAGGGACCACATAGGTGACATTAAATAACAGATTCTAATAGTATATGAATGTTCATGCAGTTTGTCTTGTCTCCATGGATGCTAACAGTTTAATTTGTACCTTTATTCTTCTGTAATATTTCTTCAGCTCCAGTGGATGATTTAGAGGAATGCAGCTCTTTGGTGGGTAAAGGTGATAGAAAAATAATTGCAAATATCAGACATTCTAACATGTCCAGTTGGACTCCTTTAGCAAAAGAGGGCCCTAAACCAAGACATTATTTTCCCTTTAAGCAAGGATATCTTGCTGTTGCCACTCTTCGAGTGGGAGTGGAGGGGATCCAGATGACAGTTGATGGAAAGCATATAACTTCATTTGCTTATCGTGAAGTACTTCACTTTCAATGGATCCTTTTGAGTATTTTGGAAATTTACAATTCATGCTGTTTCTTAACCCACTTTTTTTTGTCAGAGTTTGGAGCCGTGGCTAGTCAGTGAAGCAAGGTTTTCTGGAGACATTAAACTGATATCTGTTTTAGCAAGTGGCTTACCTACATCTGAGGCACTGGAGCATGTCATTGATTTAGAAGTTCTCAAGTCACCCCCTATTCCCGTTCATAGTTCTGTTGATCTTTTCATTGGGGTCTTCTCAACTGCAAATAATTTTAAGCGTAGAATGGCTGTTCGGAGAACTTGGATGCAATTTGATATTGTGAAGTCTAGAAAAGTTGCAGTGCGGTTTTTTGTTGGCCTGGTACGGAAGTTTACTTCCCACAACACCATTGCACAGATATTAAATCTTGTTAGCTCCTAGGGTTTTTGTACTAACCAATTTCATGATTAGATTAGAGGGACAAACTGTTTTGATTTTTAAAACTCGACCAATTAGATAATCTACTTTAGATTCATCCTTCCCTCATAACATTGCCTAGGCATGTAATCTGTTAATGTCGGTCACTTCTTTCTTGATGCTTCATCTATGCAGTAATAAAGATGGTGCTGGAAGTAATTGGCATTAATTTATCACTTTGACAACAACACTAATCTTGAACAAATGAAATTTTCTATTTACTGTATACCAGGATGTTGTAAACCACAAAAACTGCATGTTTTCCCCCTGCTGTGCAACTATTTACCTTGAACTGAAAAAAGATTTCGGTACCTCCTACAGCATAAGAACCACTTGGTGAATGAAGAGCTTTGGGATGAGGCACGAACCTATGGCGATGTCCAGCTGATGCCAATTGTTGATTATTATAGTCTGATTACATGGAAGACTCTTGCCATTTGCATTTATGGGGTAAATTCTTTAGGCCGTTAATGCAAAACCAAAATCTTCACTATCACTTGCTAAACATTACAAGTTGTGCTGACTTTTATGCTGTTTTGACAGACAAATGTAATATCAGCTAAATATGTCATGAAGACAGATGATGATGCGTTTGTCCGTGTGGATGAAGTACTTTCGTCTTTAAAGAGAGTAAATGTCACACATGGGCTCTTGTATGGTAGGATCAATCACAATGACCAACCTCACCGCAACCCTGACAGTAAATGGTATACAAGTCCAGAGGTAAATATCCTTGTGCAAAGGTGCAAAACAGCAGATGGTCCATATTCTGCTACCACCTGGGAGATTCTTAGACAAATCAGTTGTCATAGGACATCAGCTGTTGTAGAATAAACAATCCTTCATAATAGGTCAAGGGGGAAAAGGAAACTACTAGCGAGCACTTAATAGAAACTGCCCTTTTCAAAAGAATGGACACTGATGCATGCTTTCTAGTTCTGCACTATAATGGTTGGCTTTTATGTTATCTTGCAATTCCTTACTCGTGCTCTTTGTGCATATATTTGTGAAGGAATGGCCTGATGAAGTTTATCCTCCTTGGGCGCATGGTCCGGGATATGTAGTCTCAGGAGATATAGCCAAATCTGTCTACAAGCAGCACAAAAATGGTCAATTGAAGGTAACATATATTTCCTTCTTTTCGCCATATAAGTTATTTTTTGGTTTGACGAGGCAGATGGTTAACATCTTTTTAAATTTGCGGTTTTTTACTTGATTTCATTCTGCTAATTGACCATATTATACACAGATGTTCAAGTTGGAGGATGTTGCAATGGGCATATGGATAGCCAACTTGAAGAAGAAAGGCATGGATGTTAAATATGTGGAGGATGGTAGGATTAATATAGATGGATGTGAAAATGGGTATGTGGTTGCACATTACCAAGCCCCCAGAGAGATGCTATGTTTGTGGGGTAAGTTCCAGGAGACAAAACGATCAATATGCTGTGGAGAATGAACATAGTGGCGGTAAAAGCGTTTTTTCCCCTCGAGATGTTGAGTTCTCATAACATTATTACATCCAAATGTCGGAAAGGATTCACAGGCTTCTGTGAATTAGAAAGTTAGAGGTTTTGATTGCTAACAGTTATTGGCTTTAGGAGGAATATGACACGATGACAGATGATTCTTTATTCGTGGATGTATAACTAGGGCTTTAACATAGTTGCTTAGTTTGTTACTTTTTTCTGTAGGAAGATATGTTCAATTGTAGCACTTGTAGGAAAGGCCTTTTGTATCATGAGTGAGATGTACAGAGGCTTAGCATGGTGTTGACTGTGAGAGGGTCTACTCGTCCTGTAAAGTTTGTTATACTGAATACATGGTATTAATTTTAACAATTCCTTTTCATTTACTTCCTGTCTCCGTGTCTTCTAACTTCTTATTACGTGTAGTCGATTTGTGTTATTGGCCTGTATTTCTCTATTCTAGTAACTGGTTCGGGTGTTTAATCCAGCATCAGGTGTGCTGTCGCTCCTGAGACCCTGTTACGTCTTGTGATTGCCGAGTGTAATTGGAGATCTGCAGGGCACAATTTTAGGGCTCGTGAACAATTTGGTTTAAGTAAAACATCTCTGTGTTGGACAACACTTTCGCATTGTGGCATTTGTTTGGGATCAAACTTTTTTCTTGCTCTCTAGGGAAAAAGTTCGTTGATAGTTCCCTGTAGGATACAAATCCGCTAGAATAACAGGAATTTGGGGGGAAAGACTTAGAAATGAAAAATAATTTTACTGATTGAAAATTAAAAAGCCTTAGCATATCTTTCTTCACATGTCAAGATCATCCAATTCTGGCAATGGAAATCGAAGAACAGCTGCAATTCCCGTGATCTGAGCTAGTTGTTGTGCGCGGCGGAAGCTTTCTAGGGCAACACGAACAATAACTCGAACTAAACCACAAACAATATGCAAACCACAATCACAGCAAGAACACACAATTTACGTGGTTCGGCAAGTTGCCTACGTCCACGGGGCAAGGAGGGGGGCTTCTTTCTACTAGAAATCAAGAGAATACAAATAGGGTTACAAATCTCTCAGACCAAACCCTAAAACAAAGCTCTAGATCTCTCAAAGCTCTCTTACAATTGGATGCAATGATTCTCTCTCTTTGGCTGCTCAAATTCGTCCCTGAGGTTACCCTAACAAATCAGGTATAGGGTATTTATAGATTACAAAACGAAACGGGCCAAAAAACTGGAAAAACTGATATCCGCTTCGTCGGTCGACCGGCCCGGTCGACCGCGATCAATTCCGGTCGCGCCGGTCGACCACCACCAGCTCCGGTCGACCGCCACGCACTCTGATTCCCATCAGCTTCGGTGCACGTTTGCGGTCGACCGCGCCGGTCGACCGCCCAACTCTCTGCTGATTTTTCTGAGTTTTTGTAATTTCTTCAATTCTCCACCTCGGCGAATGTTTCCACCAAAACTGAGCCGACACCAAATCATCCAATAGTTCCTCAACAAATTCAGGAACAATACTCGAGCTGAAACGCGATCTCCCCCCATCTGAGTCAACTGATCAAACCGGGTGCATCTGAAAGACTGCCTACGTATCCTCTTGCCCAAGGAATCAAGCCGAACGTAGTTCACCCAAATGGCCGCCAACGGCCTCAGCACTGAAGGATGTTCAACAACTTCAAACAATGACCAAATTTTACTCCTGAAACAACTTTGGTCAACATATCTGCAGGGTTGTCATTTGTGTGGATCTTCTCTAATATGACATCTCCATCATCCAAGACGTCCTGTACAAAGTGGAATCTGACGTCGATGTGCTTCGTGCGCGCATGATAAACCTGATTCTTCGCCAAATAGATAGCCGACATACTATCACAATATATCTGAATAGTCTCCTGAGCGGTCCCCAAGTCCTCCAATAATCCACGCAACCATAAAGCCTCCTTAATAGCTTCAGTAACTGCCATATACTCTGCCTCTGTAGTAGAGAGAGCCACTGTGGACTGAAGCGTGCAACGCCAACATACAGGTGCACCTGCCAATGTAAAAGCATAACCTGACGTAGACCGGCGTTTGTCAAGATCTCCAGCATAGTCTGAATCCACATATCCAATACAAGCCTGCCCATCCTTCTCATCCTTCTAAAATACTAAACCAACATCCACGGTGCCTCGAACATATCGTAGAATCCACTTCACGGCCTCCCAGTGACTCTTCCCCGGGTCGTGCATGTATCTCGATACCATGCTCACGGCCTGTGACAAATCTGGCCTCGTACACACCATCGCATACATCAAGCTACCTACTGCACTGGTATATGGGACCTTCGACATATAATCTCTGTCCTCAACTGAAACAGGTGACATCAACTCTGAAAGCTTGAAGTGGGGAGCCAATGGTGTGCTAACTGCTTTTGCATTGCCATCAAAGCTGAATTTCTTCAACATCTTCTGCAAGTAGCTCTTCTGTGTAAGCTTCAATTTCCCCTTCACCCTGTCTCGCTCGATCTCCATACCCAATATCTTCTTTGCCTCTCCAAGATCTTTCATCTCAAACTCGGATGATAACTCCTCTTTCAGCTTTCGAATAGCCGAAGAATTCCTGGAAGCAATAAGCATATCATCAACATATAAAAGCAAATATATGAGCTCACCATCCTGTAGCTTGTGCATATAAACACATGGGTCATATGGGCTCCTCGTGTACCCTCGGCCAATCATAAAGCCGTCGAATCTCTTATACCACTGTCTTGGTGACTGCTTCAAACCATAAAGAGACTTCTTCAGCTTACAAACCAAATTTTCCTTTCCTGCAGCTTTGAAACCCTGTGGTTGTGTCATGTAGATCTCCTCATCTAAATCACCATGTAGAAAGGCTGTCTTCACATCCATCTGGACCAAGTCCAAATCCAACTGTGCCACCAACGCCAATAAAATCCGAATCGACGAATGCTTCACAACGGGTGAAAATACCTCGTTGTAATCAATGCCCTCAAGCTGTGCATATCCCTTGGCAACTAATCTGGCTTTGAACCGAATGTCCCCAATAGAAGATCCCTCCTTCTTCGCATATACCCACTTGCAACCAATAGCTTTCTTACCCTTAGGTAGATGTGCAAGTGTCCAAGTGTCGTTCTTCTGAAGAGACCGCATCTCCTCCTCCATAGCTTCCCTCCACCTGATCGAATCGGGGCTAGACTCTGCCTCCCTGAATGTGGCTGGAACCATATCATCAACGACCTCCACTGATAATGCATATGCGACCATGACATCATTATACCTAGCTGGCCGACGAATCTCTCTCCTCGGTCTATCTGCTGCAATGGTCCTCTGAACATGACCCTGTTCCTGAGTCCCATGATCTACTGTATCCTGTATCTGCCCATCTGTCATCTCATCTCCTCCCAGTGTCACCTCTGTAGGAGCCTCAATGGATACAGTGTTCTCTGGAGTGGGTGGAGTCACATCATCCTCCACCTGCTGCGATATCTCTCCTGTCTGGTCTCCCTCCACCTGCTGAGGGGTTCGAGGCCTCATCATGTACGCCTCGTCAAATGTGACATCTCTGCTAATAACTATCTTCTTGTCCTGTGGATCCCATAACTTGAAGCCTTTGACTCCATCTCTAAATCCCACAAAGACTGCTTTCCTCGCTCTCGGATTTAATTTACCATCACTGACATGATAATAAGCTGGACACCCGAATATCCGAAGCGACTCATAGTCACTAGCCTCCGAACCAAACCAACGCTCCAAAGGAGTCTTCCCGTCTATCGCAGTGCACGGCAACCTGTTCACAAGATGGCTCGCATAAACCAACGCCTCGGCCCAAAAAGATCTAGGCAATCCACTCTGCGTCATCATACACCGCACCTTCTCCAGCAAGGTACGGTTCAATCTCTCAGCCACCCCGTTCTGTTGCGGTGTCTCTCGAACTGTGAAGTGTCTTCTAATGCCGTGATCCCGGCAAAACTGCAGAAACGGATCACTCTTGTACTCTCCACCGTTATCTGAACGTAGAGTCTTCACCTTTCTACCTGTCTGCAGCTCCACTTTCTTTTTCCACTCCACAAAAATATCCAGGACCTGATGTTTATGCTTCATCGGGTATACCCAATTCCTCCTGGAATAATCATCAATGAAAGTGACAAAATAGTTGGCCCCACCAAGAGATGTGTTCTTGGAAGGACCCCAAACGTCCGTGTGAATATAATCCAATGTACCTTGGGTGTTATGAACAGCGGTGCCGAACTTCACTCTAGTCTTCTTCCCAAGTACACAATGCTCACACAATTCCATCTTGCAGGTCTTAGCACCTTTCAATAGCCCCTGTTTAGCCAATGACTGTAGGGACTTATCTCCTGTGTGTCCAAGTCTCATGTGCCATAAGGTGGTAGTGTCCTCCTCTGTAGTGATAGAAGCTGCCAGACCCCCTGTAACTGTCTTGCCCTTCAAGTAGTATAGGTAGTTTTCCCTGACACCTCGCATCACCACCATAGAACCCTTCGTGACCTTCACTGTAGCATCCTCTAAGATCACTCGATATCCTGCTGCCTCCAAAGTCCCAAGAGAAATGATGTTCTTCGTCAACTGCGGCACGAACCTCACTTCCTTCAATTCCCTCACTACACCATCATGCATCCTGATCCGGACTGAACCAATACCACCAATAGGGCATACGTGATCATTACCCATAAGCACGACATCCCCTCTTTCCAGCTCCTCAAAGCTAGAAAACCACTCCCTCTTAGGGCAGATGTGATATGTAGCTCCCGAATCCATCATCCACTCCGTGGAATCCGCATAGCAAACCGACGGTAAAGCAGGGCATGAATAGCCTGAAGAATCTGAATCTGAATGCTCACCAATAGCTTTTGCAACATTCACTTCTGAAGCTTGTGCAGCTTTCCCCTTATTCTTTCCGGCTTTTTCTTTCCACTTTGGGCAGTCAATCTTCCAATGTCCTTCTTCTTTACAATACCGACATTGATTTCTACCAACACTCTTATAGGCACTCCTATTCTTTGACTTTGAGCGGTTGAACTGACGACGGTTTGGATCTCGGCCTCGAACTGCTAACGCATCTCCCGATGCCTTCTCGGAGGGTTCACCATCACTCTTCCTCAACTCATAGTTCACCAAAGCTGAGGTCACCTCCTTGTAGCTAACTGTAGTTCTTCCATTGATCATAGTGAGAACGAACGTACCATAATCATCTTCGGGCAACGAACACAGAAGTAGCATCGCCTTGTCTTCATCCTCAACTATAATATCAACATTGGCCATATCTGAAAGTAGCTTAGTGAAATTGTTGACATGCTCCCTGATGGAAACCCCTCTCTTCATCTTGAACTGGTAAAATCTCTTCTTCAAGTGAAGCCGATTCTCAATGCTCTTCGTAAGATATTTCTCATTGAGTGTTTCCCACATCTTCTTCGCCGACGTCTCGTTCATAACATCATAAATAAGATCCGGCGTCAAGCATGACCTAATAACACCACAAGCTCTACTGTTCATCTTTCTCCAAACCTTATCCTCCAACTCAGCGGGTTTCTCTTTTAACTCAAGAGTCTCCTCCAAATTCTGTGCATCCAAAGCATCCATCACCTGACACCTCCATAATCCAAAATTGCTCTTGCCATCGAACTTCGGAACATCAATCTTCGTGTTATTGATGCTCAGACTCTGTATCGCCTTTGTTAGAGACGAACCTGACGTGCTTGCATCTCCCATGTTGTCGATCTAGCTCTGATACCAATTGTTGTGCGTGGCGGAAGCTTTCTAGGACAACACGAACAATAACTCGAACTAAAACCACAAACAATATGCAAACCACAATCACAGCAAGAACACACAATTTACGTGGTTCGGCAAGTTGCCTACGTCCACGGGGCAAGGAGGGGGGAGTTCTTTCTACTAGAAATCAAGAGAATACAAATAGGGTTACAAATCTCTCAGACCAAACCCTAAAACAAAGCTCTAGATCTCTCAAAGCTCTCTTACAATTGGATGCAATGATTCTCTCTCTTTGGCTGCTCAAATTCGTCCCTGAGGTTACCCTAACAAATCAGGTTTAGGGTATTTATAGATTACAAAACGAAACGGGTCAAAAAACTGGAAAAACTGCGACCGAATCATCTGCGGTCGACCGGGCCGGTCGACCGACCTCCTTCCAGACGCACAGGAAGCCTTGTGCACGAATGCGGTCGACCGGACCGGTCGACCGCCGCCTGGTTTGACTGATTCTTCTGAGTTTCTGTAATTTCTTCACTAGTTGCTCCCCAGATGCATGCATTGAAGAAAACACGTATCCTTGACAGACTCCACTAGCGCTACATAGTTTTTCCTCGTCGGGATGTCAGAATTTCTGAAAAGACTATCAGTAATCAGGAGAGTTTGGATAGCCAACTGCTCGTGTGTAAACTCACATGCTTAGGTCCAGAACGGGCGCGATCAGCATTCTTCGAAAGCATGCCAAAGAAAGCCTAGAGAGAGCTCGAACCTCTTGTGCAGCCTTTGCATCTTTCATCAGAGTCATAACGCTAGGCGTACACAATACATCTCTAACGCTGTGTTTGTATCCTGATGTTGAATTTACAAGGATAATACGCGACTTATTTTCAATGATGGGTCGATATCGTCTCCTTTCTGCCTCCAAGAGCAAGTAATCATGAAATTGATCCTTGGTAAAACCAGGACTCGCAATAACGAGACATCGAACAACCCGGAAATCAATATGCTTTAACAAAGCCCGGAACACATTCTCAAAGAAAGTCTTTAAAATGCCGACTCGTAGGCAGCAATGGCAGCACCACGCTTCCTTGGAATGGGAGTTGCTATGCAAGAGAGAGCTTTCGTCGACACGCTTTTCCCCACAAGAAGCAAGTTGGGGTTAAGATCAGGAGCCGTGAGCAATTTGGTTTAAGTAAATTAAACATCTCCTCTGTCTCTTCCCCCGTCAGTCAGTCACCCCGCTGACCGCCAGCGAGGGCGGAGGAGGAGATGGATGTTGGGGTCGCCGTCCGTTGTTCTGATAGTGCAGGACATGATAGGAGCCGTGATTTTGGATGGGGATGATTTGATATGGCCGCATGAAATTAAGAGGTTTTCGATGTGCTTGTTTCATGTTGAATTGGTGCTGCTGCTTAAGGTTAGGAGGCCAATGCTGAGGCACCCTACGTACTGCTTTTTCAGTTTTTTCCGTGTTGCGGCGGCGCGCGGGAATATTGCATCACGTAAATTCCATCGAGATGAAAATCTAAATTACGCAAAGGCATTAATTTCTGCGTCGTCTCCAGAAGAATCACGAGAAGGTTGAAAAATGGTTAACCCTCAGCCAGGGTTCAACCCCTCAACAGCCACAGGTTAGGCCAACTCCTCAACGTCCAAGTCTAAAATCCCAGGGCCTCAAGTCAAGTCTCTGGAGACGATGATTATTGGGGGAACAGGTAATGCATTGCAGACTCTAAAGGAAAAAAAAAAAAAGAAGGTAGGACCGGGTTAAGGGTGGCTCACCCACCGTTTTCTGGTTCAAATCCCCAATCTTTCCCACATATTTGCATCCTTGGCAGCCACTAAAACTATATAATTAGTAGCCGGTCTTGCTCTCATTTAAATTGGGCCGCAGCAAGGAGAAGATCGATCTAGACGTCTCTCTAACCATCGCTCACAGGGGTTATGGGTCGGCACAGAAGCGTGAAGGTGAGCGTGCTAACGATGGTTTTGGTGTTGGCCTCCGGTTTTGCCAGCAGGAGATGCTCCTGTCAGGTTGTTCAGTTCATATTTGGCGACTCCTTGTCGGACGTTGGCAACAACAATTACCTCACCAGGAGTCTGGCTCGTGCAGCCCTGCCGTGGTACGGGATTGATTTCGGCAACGGAATGCCGCCGAACCGCCGCCGACATAGTAGGCGACAAAATGGGGCTGCCAAGGCCACCGGCGTATCTCGACCCAACCCTCGACGGAGACACGATCCTGCAGAAGGGGGTGAATTTCGCATCTGGGGGCGGTGGAATCCTGAACGAGACTTCATCTCTGTTTGTAGGTTTTACACCACGCCGTCGTTCTCTTTCTTCGGTGAAGTTATTGGTATTGTCGATATGATACGCGTATGTTTTTTGCGTTGCAGATACAGAGGTTTTCTCTCTGGAAGCAGATCGAGCTGTTCCGGGGAACCCAAGAGATGATCAGGTTGAAGGTTGGCAATGAGTCTGCCCATAAATTCTTCACAGAAGCCCGGTACATTGTCGCTCTGGGGAGCAATGACTTCATCAACAACTATCTCTTGCCTGTCTACTCCGATTCATGGTCATACAGTGGGATAGGCTTCGTCAACTACGTGATAAGTACGCTTGACGCGCAACTCAGGGTAAAGTCGTAAACTCGATCGCACTCCTCCAACTTAAGCCGAACATGATTTCTGTACGTATTCATGGCTTATATATATGACCAATTTTAAGCTGCAGGTTCTCCACACACTAGGGGCCCGACAGTTGACATTCCTCGGTCTGGGGCCTATGGGCTGCATTCCCTTGCAGAGGATCTTAACTACCACTGGCAACTGTCAGGAGTCGACAAATAAGCTATCACTTGCCTTTAACAGAGCAGCATCTCAGCTCTTGGCGAATCTATCAAGCAGCCTTCCCAACGCCAGCTACGAGTTTGGGGATGCTTATGATTTCTTCCAGGACTTGATTGTTAATCCTCAAGCTCACGGTGAGTACTGATCTTCGAACGTAGATCGTAACCAGTTCCGTTCGCTTCTGGTTTCTTGTTCGCTCAATTTTTACATAGTTTCGTGGTCGGATGAAATTAATACGTGCAGGATTCAATAATTCAGACGCCCCGTGCTGCTCCGTTGGAAAGATTAGGCCTACTCTAACGTGTACTCCGATATCGACATTGTGCGCTGACAGAAGCAAGTATGTGTTTTGGGATGAGTATCACCCCACTGACCATGCTAATGAGCTCATCGCCACGGAGATCATGAGAAAGCTCGGTTACAAGGCAGTCAACGATACAAGCTAGCTAGTCTTAATTACCGTTCCGTCTCGAGAAGGAAGCAAACCAGCTGCCGCTGTGATGATCGATCACGATCTTTATGTTTGTTTATGAGTTTGTGTTCTCTTTAATAGGAAATTAAAAGGGAGAAACTACACTGAAGAATTGTAATTCTTTCCTTTTCGCGGTCTTTTTTTATTTCATACACAGAAAAGGTTAGTGTCATTGCCTCCTTGGTCTCAATAATAAAAGGAAATATTGATGAAATAGACGAGGTTAGTTAGTGTTACTGCCTCCTTGGTTGATCGAACGTGGGGTGTCTTCGGTGGACGGATGTATGACGTGACATGGTCTGCGGAGCGTACGTGCAGTTTGGGTGGTTCATCTGCTAAGTTGTTGTTGAGGACCGTGGCCAAACCTGTGCTCGTGATTTTATTTATAAACTATGCACGTGCAATGCACGCTGTTAATTATTATAATCGTTAATTTTTAGTTTATGTATTTACTATAACATAGTTGCAAAAAAGTTTATGATTATCATACTATATTAAAAAGTTTCAGATATTTCAATATATAAATTCTTGTTGGTTTCAACACTTTACCTTCCACATAATTAGTGAGGTTTAAAGTCTTAAAATTAAAAGATTAATGAGCCAAGAGCAATTTAATTATTTGGAATTCTAATTTTAAAATTTTAATGACGCAAGCACCAATATCTAAAAAACTATTATTATTAATGAAAAAAATAAATCTTGAATTCATCAACATAAAATGGTAGGTTTATCTGGTCATAGAGGATTTTGTTTAATTATAAAGAAATCACTCGCACCTATCGTTTTCTTCCACTTGCTATTATCTGGCGACCGAGTATTATAGATATTCAAAAACTTTTTTTTTAGAATTTTTAAAGTTAGAATGTACAAATTCAATCAAGAAAGAAAATATAAATTATATGATCAATTCTGAAAATATAAATTATATGATCAATTCTAAAATCTGATATTATAATTAATCCTCCTACATCTTCTCAACTAATTAATTAATTTGTCAAAACGATTACTCTCTAATTTCAGAAAACTATAAAATATAAGTTGAGAATGATTTAAACATATTTTTGTACACATATGGGTTGTATTTTAATAAAATAATTTAGATCTATCAAATATTGAACAATGTCCAAAAAGTTAGATTAAAGAGTTAAAAGAAACTAATAACACTCATATCTAAACTATATGCTTTTATAAAGTTGAGACATATAAAATGAATAATTTAATTTATTTTGTTAAATAATTTATTACAAATCATAAAAGATAAGAAAAACCATAAGGATCACATAATCATCACAAATAAAGATTAAATTTCTCTCTGCGAATTTTGTAGCAAAAGATTTTCAGAGATACTGATAGACTTGCTATAAAACCCACTCTTATAAGATTGATGTCACATGTGTCTTAAATTATGCTTTGTTTAAGGGTTAATTAAAAAAAACTTTCCCTCAACTATGGGGGAAATGTTAACCCCCCCTGACACCCCCCCTCCAAACTACTTGAAATGAGTAAATCTTTGTTCGTCAAATCTAGAGTGTTATAGTTAATCTATCTCAACTTCAAAATTTTGATTTAATCCTATGAATTTTTCTCAATTAACCCCTCAAAATAGTTAATCTATCTCAACTTCAAAATTTTGATTTAATCCTATGAATTTTTCTCAATTAACCCCTCAAAACTAATATCATTGAGTCGAATTCATTATTCCTATGAATTTTTCTCAATTAACCCCTCAAAACTAATATCATTGAGTCGAATTCATTATGTGATAAGTAATTGACTTGGTAAGGTCAAAATATCACTCAACCATAAAAGAATTAGCTTAGTTTTTGCTAGATGAAAGAAAAAGTGAAGATTTAGAGGTAAAAAGAACTGTAAATTGGTCGTAATTCTTTCATTATCGGTTGGGAGTTTCTTTTTAACTAAAATGGCTTTCTTCAACAGGGCATTTTTGACAAAATCACATATTAAAGTCTTTTAAATTAAGGGGGTTTGTATAGGACACGCTAAGTCGAAGGGTGTACTCTAAAATCATACAAAAGTTGAGAGAATTTATCTACAACACCTCTATAGTTAGGGGGCTCTGTCAAATTAAATTACTTGAGTGGTTTTTTTTTGAGACATTCCCAATAGTTGAGGGAGTTTTCAAAAAATTAACTATTCTTTTAAATTTAGCTTATTTACATATTTGTCCCTCAAATATTTTATAATTCAATATTAGTCCCTAAATTATAAGCAATTTTAAAATTTTAAGGGAATAATGTAGAATTACCCTAAATTATAAGCAATTTTAAAATTTTAAGGGAATAATGTAGAATTATTGGAGATTTAAAATCAAGGAAATGATATCTAAATTATCTTTAAAAATGTAGAATTATTGGAGATTTAAAATCAAGGAAATGATATCTAAATTATCTTTAAATATTGCTCTTATATACAATATATGAAATATCGGCAGATATATTGCTATATCGACTGATATAAAAGGTTAAATACTTTATCTTGATAATATTTATGGTTTTATTTTTTTTATTTATGGATTTTTCTCATATATCGATCATTATCGAAAATATTGGCTAGTATAACAAAATCGAGTCATTTTTAATTTGATTGTGGGCTTGGTATTGGGTCGTGTTTGAAAACCAAAACTAAAGTACAAGTCACAAAAGCCACAATTCATATCCCAAATCTCTCCACTCTCAGCTCTCCTAAATCTTAAGCATATATCTTGACACAAATTCTTATGTTAAAAAATCATCAATATCTGAGATTATAGATTACATTGTTATATTATGTATGAGCATTATCTCATATAACACCCAGATATTTTTTACATAATCCCGATTATTACAATCCAATATCATGGATTTTATTTGTCCAGCATTTATATGATGCCCAACACTTTGTAGTAGTCATTCGAAAGCCTCTTCTAAAACTTTCTAAGCAAAGTATATGAATTCAGAAATAATTCAAAATATGATGCTTCAATTTTTCCATATTTTTCTAGTATATAAATATAAGCTAACCCTCTGGCCTCATATTATATGATGTATATTATTTATCAAAGAGATATATAAGAGTTTTATAATAACATTAAAAGTTTTAGGGACCAAGTTAGGCAAACTTGAAGTGGCATATAATATGATTAATTAAAAATAATAATTAATTTAGTTTAGTTAGGATTAAAATATAATATTTAAAAAATTGGGGTAATAGAAAGTTTTTCTACAACTTTCTCTTTTAGTGAGAGTATAATTCTAAGTGGTATATATAATTTCATTTATAATTCAAAATATTGAGACTTACTCAAAATATGGTGCTTAAATTTTTTCACATCTTCTGTATAATATAAATATAAGCTAAGCCTCTCGCCTTATATTATACGATGAATATTTTTTATCAAAGAGATCACATACTATTGTTTGTGATTAACAAAGACTTCAATATTTTATAGGCTTAATTAAACATAAATACCTTACAACTTACGAAAGTTACACTCATATACCTCCACTTATATCTTAATGCATTTAAATATCCTAATATTTTCTAAAGTTACATATTTGTACTTATGTACGCAAGAATATTCTTTATAATTTTCCTATGTGAGTGCCATTGTATAATTTTAGAAAAATTTTATATTTTTTACTCCTTCCAAAATAATTTATTAACTTACAATTATTTATTAATATAATATTATGCATTATTAATAATTAATATGAGAGTTTTACAATAACATTGGAAGTTTTAGGGCCAAGTTAGAAATAATTAATATGAGAGTTTTACAATAACATTGGAAGTTTTAGGGCCAAGTTAGACAAAATTGAAGTGACATGTAATATGATTAATTAATAAAATAACATTGGAAGTTTTAGGGCCAAGTTAGACAAAATTGAAGTGACATGTAATATGATTAATTAATAATAATTAATTTAATTAATTTAATTAATTTATAATTAGAATATAATATTAAAAATAGGGGTAATATAGTCATGAAAAGTATTTTCACAACTCCCTCTTTTAAAAGGAGTTTGATGATTTGATTTGATTTGATATGATATACATACATGGCTCACGATTCATGGATCCGAGCACTTTATAAGAACATAGTCTAAGGCCCACTTTCTCATACTCCCACCCAAAAGGCCCTTGCGTGATTTGTAAAAAATAAAAATAAAAATCAGCCACACTTGATAGGTAGTTCACATTTGTTGATTTTCACTAATATCACTAGACCTCGTTTGAAAAACATGTGATCCAGCTTAATAAATCTGGAGCCTGGAAATTACCCCTATTCTGTACTTTATATCATGGTGACCAATATCATTAATTTGTTCTTAATTTCAAGAACAATGTCTTCCAACCATCCTCTCAAGTTGGGAAGCAGAAACTGAAATTGGTTGGTCAAGCCTTTACTCTATATATATATATATAGAGAAAAACTTATGTCAACTTAAGTGGATGTCTACTAAGTTTCTTAGTCATTGATGATCACTTGATTGAGCTATATTGTGGATGATCCGCTCCGTTGAACTTGATCTACATATTCTAAAACCCCAACACACCAAATTTGGGGTGAACCCGTCGTGGTTTGACCCTCCGTCGAGCCATGTAAAAAGTTCTATTCATTCGAAACCGTTAAAACTGATACGAGTGGATGAAGGGTCAAACCACGACGGGTTCACCCCAAATTTGGTGTGTTGGGGTTTTAGAATATGTAGATCAAGTTCAACGGAGCGGATCATCCACAATATAGCTCAATCAAGTGATCATCAATGACTAAGAAACTTAGTGGACGTCCACTTAAGTTGACACAAGTTTTACTC